GGCAAAAGGTGGCCCAACGAAGTACTGATGGGGTGGTCATAATAATCTGGCCACTCACGTTCAAATATATCCCACGTTCAAAGGCTGTTAAATCGTGTTGTTTACCCATATCTTCAGAAAAAAATCACTCTACTGTCGTGGTAAACAACCTGCTTCCCTATTTATAATGGTCTGGCCCTCTAGCAACTTCAGAGCAAAATTATAGCTAATTTGCCTACAAACGTCAGGTGGTCATAATAATCTGGCCACTCAGTGCATATATATATTTGAATATATTTTTATTGATTTCAGAGAAGAAAAGAGAGGGAGAGAGAGAGATAGAAACATCAATGAGAGAGAGAATCATTGATTGGCTGCCTCCTGCACACCCGCTACTGGGGATCGAGCCCACAACCCCGGCATGTGCCCTGACCGGGAATCTAACAGTGACCTCCTGGTTCATAGGTTGCTGCTCAACCACTGAGTCACACAGGCAGGGCAAAGATTACATATTTGTTTAACCATCACACCATCTATCCTGTTAGATGCTTTTGGCTTTACATTGACATTTGCCTGATATTGAGATTATTGCTCTTGCTTTCTGTTTGTCTGCTTGCCTGCCTACTTTCATTTGCTGGTATCTTTGTGTCTCCCTCATGTTCAGTGTTTGTCACTCTGCTCTAGGTGTATTTCTTGTGAACCACACAGAAGGCAGTGCTTTTAACAGTCTGATCATCTGTTTATTGATCTGGAAATTCTGGACAATATGTGCTAGCCTTGATTTTATTCCTTCCATTTTATTTAAAGTTTACCACTTATTTTGTTTTTCTCTTTTCCAGTCTTTATTTCTGCTGACTTGGTGATAAAATATATTTTTATTCTCTTATTCCCATTCTAATGGGAAGGTCTGATAAGCTATACATCCTCTATTGCTCTCTCCCTTTTCTATTCTAAGAGAAATATTAAGTCTTTCTTCCCTCAAATGCCTTACTTTTCTACTCCTCTCCTTCACCTCCCACTTCTATTCCCCAACAGCTGGGTTTATTTTAGCCACTTCAATAATTTAAAATTCTGGCTCTATGTAAAATTTCTCCATTCTGTATATCTCTTTGTTTCTAGACTCCTCTTGGGAAAGGAGCTGCTCTGACAGCTCGCTGCCTGCGAAAGGCCCCGTCCTGCCTGGCTGTGCTGTGGCTCATAGGAGCAGAGAGAATCAGGCTGCTCTCAAACTGCCACCTTCAAATTAGAGCATGAACATGCATCCTCCTGAATATTACAGAAGAAGGAGCGGAAGGAAGAGCTGAGTTCTAAACAGATGTTTCTTTATCACATGCCATTGTTCCCTTCCCCAAAAATCCTTCCAAAATTAAGGAACAGCTTATAAAATATTGACAGGTGAGAGGCAGCTTTTAAAATTACATCTTTTACAGCGTGTACACATTCAGCCACTTTCTGCTATGAGGGGTAATAAAATGGCATTTTTCCCACCTTTTTCCATCTCCATTTCCATTTTAGTTTGTGATAGTATTACTTTTACTTGGTTAAGGCTTATAACATTTGTATTCTGGTAATTAAATGTCATAATTGTTTGGTTTTAGTTATATAGTTAAGTAAATTAAGTAACCACCACTAATCTTTTACACAACTTTTCATACCTGATCTTTATTTTTTTCTTGATCTTTAATTGTGATCATTTCTTGAAAATTAAATCCATTATCAAGTAGTTTTTACAATAAGGGCTCAGAGTAATGTATATTCAACACTCAGCATAATTTCAGGCAGTAATCATTGTTGAATGTTATTTGATAACAATAATACCTAGGATAATAGAATAATAATAACTATAATTTTATTCTATTGGGAATATTTTACTTATTCATCCATTTAATTGTTTTCTCTTTAAAATTGATTTCTTTTTGTTCTTCACAGAATAAAATTGTTACCTCTTCATTTTTTTCTAAAGATATATTTACAGAAGCATTTTTTCTCATCTACCTTTTTATTTTTTTTCATTATGCAGAAACTTTAATTGTATGTAATTAAATCTGATGATCTATTCTTTGTGATTTCTTCTATTACTTCTAAATTTACATACTTGATATTCAATTTTATAGCCTTATTTTTCTATAATTGGCATTTAATGTCTTAATATGTAGCTCTGAAATTCATTTAGAAGTTTATTTAGTATATGGTTTAAGGAGAAACGAAAATTTATTCTCCTCCCACCCCCCAAATTCATCACGAGCCTAATTTTTGCCATGTTATTCTCTTCCTTTATTTACTGAGTGTTACATTCTAATAACTTCCCCTCCATGTGTTTTCCCTTCCGGCTGCCTTTTGTTTCCTTTTTGGCTGCCTGTTTTCACACACTGACCTCTTACTTTTGTGATACGGAGCCTAACCCCCTGCCCTGAAATTCACATGGATTATGTCACTTGGAGAATTCTCTAAACCAGCTTTCCCCAAACGGTGTTGCTTGTGTTTCAACAAAGTCTCTGCAACATCCAGTGCAAACATCCTGCCACGGCTCTGACTTCTCCAACTTACATCACAGATCAAGCTGCTACTTTCCATGCTTAACCTGAAAGCACTTCTGTCTGAAAGGCCTCATTTAAACAAGGTTGGGAGACAGTGGATGCCTCATTCACGCAAATAGATTCACTTTCCTCCTCTGAGCAAACTTCTCACACCAGCAATCACAAGCAGCTGCGGACAGGATCCCAGAAGGCCTCTTACCCCACTGCTCTGGGACAGTGAGTGCAAACTCTCCATAACTTGTCAAACCAAGCGAGTCACTGGGCGGTATCTACCTCCACTGTAGTGTTTAATAGTCTTTTTATGTTAATTAATTTTTAAATGTCTGTCTTCTCCAACATACTGTGAGTTGCTGAAGGGCAGGAAACATATTTTTATTCTGCAGAGCACAGAACCTGTCATGAGGTTGAGGCTTAATTATTTTTCATTAATGAGTGATTAACTTTCCTAAGCCCCTCCCTCTCCCCCAAACCAGCCTACTGACAACCAAGCAATTGACCAACTATCACCCAATTAAACAGAAGCAGCAACACAAATGTGGAGGCAATTTCCCAAATGTCCTTGTCAGTTGTGTTTGAATGCAATTGGCTTTCTCAGTTATTGGATCTAGAGTGTGTGGCAAATCCAGAGATGAATCAGACACAATATTTTCCCTCAGGGAACTCAGAATTCCTGAGAATAGATGACACATTAGCTTAAATTTAATTTAATGGGAAACTGATTTGTGACACATAAGCTGTGTATCAGGAGGAGAGAGAAGAAAGGAAGAGAATACTTCTTTCCCCATGAACCTTTGGGGAGAGGAAATATCATAATTTGTCCTTATTAAAGGCTGCCCCATGATTAATATTTCCATCTAAGAAGCAATTAAGGAATTATTATCCAGGGAGATTGTAACAAAAGGAATTAAGCCACATCAGCTCTGTTCAGGCGGAATAAGGCTCAGCTTTTAGTATTGAAAGTTAAGTCTATTTCAACTAAAGGCTTTACATTTTGTCCTTAACTTTTGCTCAGGTGCTATATGAGAACCACTGCATGGATAGGTTATAAATTATCTAGCAGTACTTAGCAAATACAATCCATAGTGCTAAGCGGAATACATTATAATCACGGTGCAATAATCAGAGTAGTGATAATTTCATATGTGCAGTAGACTCTAAGGCAGTGGTTCTCAACCTGTGGGTTGCCAACCTGTGGGTCGCAACCCCTTTGGGGGTCCAACAACCCTTTCACAGGGGTCGCCTAAGACGATCAGAAAACACATATATAATTACATATTGTTTTTGTGATTAATCACTATGCTTTAATTATGTTCAATTTGTAACCATGAAAATACATCCTGCATATCAGATATTTACATTATGATTCATAATAGTAGCAAAATTACAGTTATGAAGTAGCAACGAAAATAATTTTATGGTTGGGGGTCATCACAACATGAGGGACTGTATTAAAGGGTCATGGCATTAGGAAGGTTGAGAACCACTGCTCTAAGGGGTTACAGTCTGTTTGACTCCATTAAAGCATTTGCATTTTCAGATATAAAACTTTACTTTTCAGTGTTATAGGAAGTAATTATTTCCAACTATTAATAAAATGTGGAGAAATCATCCCGCCTCAGTGCTATAATCATGTTATAGTCACAAGTGCATCCTATATAATAAAGCAGTAATATGCAAATTGATCATCACAAGATAGCTGGCAGGGGAGGGCAGTTAGGGGCAACCAGGCCTGCAGGGGAAGGCAGTTAGGGGTGACCGGGCCGGCAGGGGAGGGCAGTTAGAGGTGACCAGGTCGGCAGGGGAGGGCAGTTGGGGCAACTGGGCTGGCAGGGGAGCAGTTAGGCGTCAATCAGGCTGGCAGGGGAATGGTTAGGGGGTGATCAGGCTGTCAGGCAGAAGTGGTTAGGGGCAATTAGGCAGGCAGGCAGGCGAGTGGTTAGGAGCCAGCAGTCCTGGCTTGTGAGAAGGATGTCCGACTGCCGGTTTAGGCCCAATCCTTATGGGCCTATACCGGCAGTCGGACATCCCCCGAGGGATCCCATATTGGAGAGGGTGCAGGCTGGGCTGAGGGACACCCACCTCAGTGCACGAATTTCATGCACCGGGCCTCTAGTCTAATTATAAACATTGTATCAGAATCTTTTTTTGCAAACTCAGTTATTTTTTAAGGCACTAAGTGGAAAGGCTTACTACAATGCCTATAAAACAAATATAAAAATATGCAAAGCATCAACTCAAAAACAGGTGCATCTTCCACATCTACAGATTCAGAGAAGAGTAGAGTAGGAAGGGACCCTCCCTTTACTTAGGAGAGAAGAGTGACCAGAGAGGCCATTTGTCTTGCCAAGTAGGATTAAGGCTAATAGCAAAACTTAGGTTTTCTTACTTTCCGTCTAGTGCTTGGAACCCTATATGGTGTTGTTTTTAGAGGGTTTTTCTCTTTTTAAATGGAAGAAGTGGGATATTTGTGTCCCCATTTGAGAGATGGAGACACAGTAGAGCCAAGTCATGACACAACCTAGCTGAGCCATGTAGGCAGCATGTGGTAGATCTCTGATCAGAGTCAGAACCAGTTTACTCCTGCTTCCTCAAAGCCGTCCTCTCCGGTAGGATCAGGAGGTCCTACTATCTCTCCACACTTTCAAAGAGGTGGCTGCTCCTGCTGGAACCACTGAGGGCTGTCAGGGTGAGGCCTGGGTGGTCCTTGGATCTGTTAGGGCAGGTTTGTTACCACAATGACCTTCAATTTAATAAATGTTTATTAAGCACTTACTATGTGCTAGGAACTACTCTAGAAGCTGGAAACAGTGACTAAAACAAGAACCTTCTCTCAGAGCTTACTGTCTAAAAGAGAGACCCACCAGTGGAGTAATGAGGAGAGGGTTGTTGTCAGTCCTTGTCCTTGGGAGGTGTCTCAGCAATGACAAGGGTCTTTCTACCACATCTGAGAATGTCTGAATACTGGCTGATCTCAATGTAGTGACATTCTACTCATTCATTTAGTCTACCAGCTTCAAAATACTTGCTTGTCTACACTAGCCATTTCTCATAGCCCCTTTCAGAAAATTTCCACATGATTAATGTTACATTAAAAAAACCCCTCCACTTTGGATATGTTTGCGATAGATACTGCCCAGCTGTAGCTGTCAATGGGTCATGCTGTGTGATTAATGAGTCAAAACAGAGCTCTGGAGACGCTGTCACTTTCCTCCACTAATGTAAGAGCTGTGGACGAGTCCCTGCACTGTCGCTGCTCCAAATTACAGCCAAGATCCACACCAGAGATCTGTGCACAGGGGGTCCTTGGGGGACAGCAGGTATCAGTGAGCTCCTCACAGAGGACTCCTCCGCAGCAGTTGGCTGACAGCGGGACCTTAAATCACTTCTGGGTTTCTTTTTCCTTTCTGCCACTATTCATGCAACGTGTTCCTATTTTTCTAGGTGGTACATTTGAGCACTGCATGGGGGAACTACCTTCATCATATTCTTAGGAAGTCTGGAATTGTCCCACGGTGAGACATGGCTCTACATGAGCCATAGTTCTCCATGTCCATGTGGACTTCATGGATATGACTCAGTGCCAGGGAGACTGTTACTGTGTGTGTGGACAACCTCTGCCTGGGGCTTGCCTGGGCACTCTCTATTTCTGCCTTTTTTAAACATGAATGCTCTGGGTTCTTATCCCCTGCTGTCTACAGCCCTCCACCAAAGAGAGAACAAGGCAATGATTAGGTTTTGCTTACTGAGCTACAACCACAGCCACTTGTCCTTGAGGTGGTGTCCAGTGCACCTTGGGTAGAGTTGGGTGGCTCATGTACGCTCTGATCCAGGTCTCTTGGTTTGGTCCTTCAGTCGGCCTGTCATAGTACTTGTGGTGGTTTAATTTCCTGAGGGCAGCCTTCTTCTTGTCTCTGCTGGTTCTAGGGCTCTTCATACACTGAAAGGACAAGCAGCTGCC